CTATTTATTTCTGATAATTCTGTGTAATTTTTAAATGGGTGAAAAATTTAATTTAATATTAACCATTATGAAAATAATAATTTGTATATTATGTCTCTAGGATCCAGTCTTACTTCCAGCCATTCCGTCCATTAAAACCAGCTGCTCGCGCCTTACAATCTGATCCTCCTCATAGATTTTCCACATCTTTCTTGATTACATCTTTCATTCTACCCACATAATTCTCAGTTTTTCAATGAGTCTTTTTCTTAATCGGTTTTTTTTCGGTATTGTACGGAGTAATGGGTTTTGGTTTCTCCAAGTTTCACATTGTAGTCTCTTGTAGTCTTGTTTCTGATTTCTTCTACGATATTTGGTTTTTGATAGTGTGATTTTAATTCCTCGTTCTTTCTTATTACACAATCATTGGTTACAGTATCCTTCATAGCTCCGAAAAATATTCTCAGAATTTTCCTTTCAAAAACGAGGAGTTTGCTCTCTTACAGATCAAATTCAATTTGTATGTATGGATATCATTCAAATTACTACACAACATATAAACATGACTGTATACGCATTTCTGGAAGATGTGTCTCTGGTACGATGTAAAGTGTAGATATAGTCGTAATGGTATTATAGTGGTTACTGGGTTGTCCTGTTAGAAAGACAATTCTAATAATATACTCCTCTATATGTGATTAGATTATATAATATGCAATACAGTAGGTACCTACATAGATTCTTTTATAAATAAATTATTACAACCCCTATGGTCCTGTAGAACTCGTGTATGGCCGAGAAAAAACCCTACGAGTGTATAAATATTTATATATTTAGGCCGGATAACTGATGTATAAATGACGGGTCTATCTGATAAACGCATTAACGAATAAAAAGTATATAGGTACCTAATATTACAATCAAGGTACGTAAGGTTCGTGTACATACCAGTTTCATAATATATTATATACGGCGGGGGGTATGGGGGCGAAGACCAAATTTTGTACACAATACATCATGTATATAATAATATGAATATAATAATATGTGTATGAATGTCTATTAAAAATTGAATATCCCCCCCTTGAAAAAATCCAAGCTACTGGTACATACTTACTAAACGTAGTACAACAGAATATTTTAAATTTTAGTACCTATTGTACCAACTTAATCATGTTGCTAGATTCAAATTTGTACTTCAATCATTATCCAAACGTGTGATTTAAATTCTATATATTATGTATCTAATACACCAGAATTATAGGTATAATGTTATTTGTCAATAATCTCAAGTTTCCTTATTTTAAGATCGTATTACCTTTTAAATACTATTAGGTTCAATAACTTAGTCAAAATTATGATATTTGTCTACAATAACTAATAAGTATGGTTGGAATAATAAAACAGTCATTTATATTATGTAGGTACTGATTGATGACTGTTACTACGAGAAGAAAAAATGTATTGGTTAGTTTTTTTTTTTTTTTGTAGATAGGTACTTATATTAACTTTATGAAACTGAATGAGAATACCGTTGGATTTTTCTGTTGCGGAGAATGTAAAAGGACCCGATAGATAATCTAACGGTGCGTATAACTATTTAAAGTGAACAATAAGTATTACACTATCTGCAATACAAATATCAAATAGTTGAGTATTTCTTCAAATTTATGTCATACTGAAAAATTGTATTTTTACGCATTATTTATTAACAATATTGAATTATGAAAATGTATTTATTTTAATTTAGGTGCATTCCAATACTTAATAGCACATATCTCAGGGTGAATTTAAACCAGAAACAAAAGTGAATTTTTAAAATATATTTGATATCAATACTAAATTCTGATAGTAATTTTACCTTACACTATATTAAAATGATTACTTAGAGAAAATGGCCAATGGCCATATTAGTGCTTTTTCAGTTTATCACAAATATATCATATGATATATAATTATGAACCATAATATAATGCGGTAGGTACCTTATCCATTTGGATAATCCAAAAATTAATCAATTAGATGTTTATTGTAAAACAGAATTTATGTTTTTTTTTATTATTTTAATAATAAAATTTATTTCAATCAGGTATTTTACTTACACAATAACTCAATTTTGTTAGTCCATTATAATATAAACAATTTGCAGAAATGTATGTATTATGTATGTATGTAAATAAAGTAAATTATAATATAATACATACAATAACCAAAAATTACCTTTTTAATGGATTAAACTGGTTTAATTATCCCGGAACATAGTCATTGTCGGTAAATCTTTTTTAAATCGTTTTGAAACCATATTTATATATTAAATAGAAATGTTAAACGTATGTAGTATGTACCTCGTAGAAGTTTTATATTTAATTTATAGAAAATGGTATTTTTCTCCTCAGTCTTCACAAAAATGTTATAATTTTGAAAAATAAATAATATAGTTAATATATATTTATTTTTTAAGAATAAACTAATTTTTTATTAATTATGTGTCGAACATTGGTTACTTATTGCCCAATGATTCGTTATAAGCCCGTTGATTGGGATAACTTAAAATAAGACGCAAATTACACAATTATTAATTAAATTATTAATAAGAGGAGTATTTACTATAAAGAATTATTTTCTGAGTTTAAAATTACTTTTCATAATTAATAAAAATATATTGCACCTAGAGTTGTACAAATATTTTGATAAAATTTGCTGTTTATAAGCATTTTATGTTAAAATTATCAGTTACACACATATAAATACATAAAAACAGGAACACAACAATGAGTGAATACATATTGCATATTTACGTATTTTAAGGAGTAGGTACCACATTTTCCAATTGTAACACTATCACAAGGTATGAACACTGTTCTTATAGCTTGAAAACAGGTTTTTTTATTCTTGAATGCCTATTGGCTTCATAATAACTAAATACGCATATTTTAATACTACCTATATCACTATATTATATAAAATAATTAATCAACAATAATAATTATCAGAAAATATAAAATATTAAAAGGTGCATTCGTTATTTTTCATCTAATAGCTAGACATCTAGACATTTACTATCTGTAGAGGTTTTATTTTAAATAATATTATACTATACACAATAATATATAATAATTTTGCATTCAAGTGAACATCCAAGCTATTAAAAGACAAATAATTCCTTTATATATTATATTCATTATCGCTATTCGCTTATATTAGCATCATTTTAACTTTGGCAATAATAATTGTGAACCATTTTAGACCTTTATGTACGTAAATGTGTTTCAATTGTATCTTTATAAACATCTCTAATAGTAATGTACCTAGTAATGTCCTATATAAATAAGACAATAAAATAAACAATAAAATTAGAGAAATAACAGAAAATCTTTTATTTGAAAAAAATAGTAATAAGAATATGTATAAAATAAATGGATAGTCCATAAACTACCAAAATAAAATTGTTTAGACCATTAAAAATTAAATAAAACGAAAATAATTATATTTATTTCAAATAATACTACATAGTATCGATCTTAAGTTTAATAGATTTTTTTTATCAATTTTATATGTATTCATAAAAGGATAAATTAAAATAAAGCAATCATTGCAGAAATGTTTGAAGTAATGTAGTGAAAATGTTGCGTTCTATAAATTAAAATTAAAACATTGACAGCTGAGGAATCGATTTTAGTAGGTACTTTAAATAAATCGAACATTAAATTAAGTATTACATTTTTAATTACGTAGGTAGGTTTAAATTTGATATTTATGAAACTTAGGGCTTTCTGATGATTATATTTTAGTATGGTCAAGCGAGTCTAGACAAAAATATCCATTTCCATTCCCTAATTTTCTAACTTCATGAAAATTTAAATTATTATATAAGTAATAAATAAGTATATAAATATGTATATGAAATAAGTATTACAGAAAGTTTTTTCTTTTCGAATATTTGTTACCACGACGTTCATCGTTGGATATCATAATTTTGTCACCAAATTAAACTTGTATGAACCCTAATATGATATTTTATTATATTTTTATAGTTAAGTTTATCATACAGATGGCACCAGGACATCCTGTATTTCTATCGAGTGCATAGTTTCTATAATATAAAAATGTATTTTCATTGTTTATAATGTTGTTTACAATGGATCAACATAGTATCCACAATCCACATCAATTTGTTTCTTAAAAGAGACTATATAATAAGGATTTTGAAATAAAAGTTTTTATAAACTTAGATAAGTAGGTATACGGAAGCTTTTTATTATGATGAGATATAATATATACAATGTGTTTTTTTCAGAATAAATTGTTGTAAAATACACAACTTACAACAACTCGCAACTGTGTAATAAAATATATGACGTATTTAAATATACAATAAATATGACTCAATATTAATGATTTAATGTATGGGTTTAGGAATATCGTAACTACATAAATACGATTGACAGTAGATAAACTCTAAAGTGACCAGTATTAAATGTTTGTAAATTATGAAATTTGAAATAATTTTATAACATTTTATATTAAAACTATGTAAAATAATAAAACTAAAAACCAAATTAAAGAAAAAACATTGTAAAATTCACATTTATTTTATAAAAACATATTTACCTATAAATAAAAATAATTCTGGAGATAATGGATTTGTCAAATCTTGGGATCATTATTATAAATTATGATAATACTATAGTAACAATAAAATCTCTTGAAAAATTTCCTCCGGGACACGGAATTTCACTTCTCAGACCGGTAACGATGATGGCCACCCTTAGCTTATACAAAACTTGAGGAACACTGGTATATGTACAGAGTGTTTCAAATTTAGATTTGAACAATATTGAGAAATAAAAGTAAAAATTTGTTAATTTTTTCAATTGATTTTTCAAAAAAAAAAAAATAAAAAAATGAATTTATAGGCTCTAATAAAAATAATAAATAGTACATTGTTAGTTTTTTTTTACATTTTAGGCCGTATTCAGACTAATGGTTTTTAAACAAAATATACAATCATTGACCGAGAGATGCATAACTCAACGTATGCTTGTCTGTCAAGATCAAACAGCACAAATCAACCGTCATCCGATCAGGAAGGCATAGATCGTCAAAACAATTTAATGTTTACGAAACTTCCATTGCCAAAATTAGAAAATGATTTACAAAACTATAATTTGAGGTTGGACAACAGGCCCAACTCTGAACAGAATAAAGGTAAGTGCATATCACGTAATAGATAAACTAAAGCTTTCAATAATAAAAATCAATAATAATACATGTTTACAAACCACTGAAACTTAGTAATTGCAGTATAATTAGTAATATTTACAATTAATTTATAACGTAGCAAATAGTAATATCAATAATTCAAGTATAAATATTTGTTATTCATATAACCAAGATTTTGGTAATAATTGGATGGTTGTTAAAATCTTGAAGTTCTACGAAATTGCTATATATGGCAGTATTATGGCTTGCCATAGTTAAATAAGTAATAGAGGATCTATGTGTAATGTGTTGATTTTAATTCCACAAGACTTGCATATTGTTTAAATTTACAACTTTTGAAATTTAAAATATATTACATGAATATATTTTGTGAATAATTCACATCATATCTGAAACATACCTAAAACAATAATAATAATTATTGTTCTTTGAATGTAATTTTAGGTGGGTAGTATTTTCAAACCAGATATAAAAATATTGTAAATAAAATATCTATTCAAGTGACAATTAGTTAATTACATCATTAAACTATTAACTTAACACAAAACTAATTATTAAGAATAAAAATAACTAAGCATTTAAAGTAGAGATATTCGGTTTCTATCTAGAATTAGATTTAATCGGGGTAACCTTAAAAACAATATTAATCAAATTAGATTTTGAAATATGTCTATATTTTAAATGTTATGTTGCAATCGGTTCACATTGCGGTGACATTCAATTAGATCGACATGTTTATTTTCCAAATGTCTTACTCATTTAGGTAACAGAAAAATTAATCCACTTCTATGGTGTAGCTAAATAGCCTATCTCAAACGCCGTGTATCGTTATTTTATTTATTTATTTTATTTATTATTATATAACGGGCACAAGGCCCAAAAGTGCAATATTACATTTTACATACATTTAAATAATCTAATATATGGCAACAGAAAGTAATTAAAAATATCGGTTAATATAACTTAAATAATACAACATTTTGAAGACATAAAATAATTAATAATTAACATAACACATAATAAATTCAGTATTATAGACTAAATAAGGTAGGGTGCTCATTGGCCAAACGCATCATTCAATCAATTGGATTAAAAAGGAAATGAATCCAAGCTTATTAAAGACAGGAACGTAATCATGCTTAATGAGATATATATTATGTATGTATATTACTTCAGTCAAATTGGCACCAGTACATTATGACATTATGCTGGAACTGTACACCTATCATCAACAGTTTGCTAGATTTTTCCAGGGTCACTAAACTTTGAAAATCTACAGACAAATATGCCAGAGCCATCATTGTGGGAATACCTTTACAATGCAGAAATTTCAATAACAATATTACCATTATGAAGATATTCATTTCCGTACGATTTTTGTCATATCAAGTCATATCATATTTTTGTCAAGTTTGTTCGAAGATTTGCAAATTTTAGGTGCCCTATAACAAAATCCAGAATGGCCTAGGAAAATCTTTCACATTTTATATGTTAGTTATATAATATAATCATAGCATAATTTGATTTAAAATGATTTTATTATTGAAAAGCATAAAAAAAAATACATAATATTATATTTGAGAAAATAGATCCAATGGTATAGTGCCACCGCAGGGAAAAATAAGCGTTCATTAAAATAAATTAGTCGAAATAATTCGATAATTCTGTACCATTTAATATCATCTAATTTATTAAAAATGATGATAACTACGATGCCCTATAGTAAAGTATATACTGATACAACCAATATCCTCTAAATGCTGTTAAAATGTATTAATAAATAATAATCAACGATTAGATGGTACGGCAGATCAAACAATAAGAAGATATAGAACAGCATTCACGAGAGAACAGTTGCTTCGATTAGAAAAAGAATTTTACAAAGAAAATTACGTGTCCAGGCCGAGAAGATGCGAGCTTGCGACCGAATTAAATCTTCCCGAATCTACGATAAAGGTAACTGATTTTATACTAATATGTTCACCATATTGCTACCAGCTTAAATAGTGTTTATAGATCTAACTATAGTGCCATATTATATAGTGGGACATAGATATATAGTTGACAAGTATATACCGGGGTGTTATTACATATTAATATAGGTAGGTACGGAATTGTATTTGTAAATATCGTAGTCACTTTACAACCATGTCCAAGACATCCTCTGAACAACTATAGTTAGGCAGATATTACTGAAAGAAAAAAACGGTAATTTATCTTTAGGAGAGTCGGTGGACTTAAAGTCATCGTTTCCACATGAAAAACCTAATTTTTTTGTGCCTGATCTGTGCAAATTTGCATCTTTTTTTATATGTGCATCTCTTTCAACTTTTATTAAAATCTGCATTTTAAATCCCGGTGCTATAACGACGTCGTTCTAAAGAATAGTTGTATTGGACCAATTTCAATTTTTGAACCTGATTTGTAGATAATATTTCTAACCCTTTTTCTTAGCTTGACGAATTTTAAATTTTGAAGCTTTAACAACTCGTCCTGCGACCCGCAAAGTTCAAAAGTCGTCCTACTGATATTGGACCAAGTTCGTTAAATTTACATGATGGCTGATTTGTATCCATTTTTGGAACTGTTACACATGCATCCTATTCGATGGTTAACCTGAAAAGAGGGACTGGAACCTCACCGAAAAGAACCGGAACCCTTATTTAAATTAATTTAAAAACCGAAACCTTACCGGAACCGATGCGTCTTTTACTTGATAAATTTTTTTCCATAAGTAAAAAACAAAATCAGGTAACAATTTTTTTATTTTTTAAGAACTGAAAAGAAACCGAAACCTAAATGTTAGTTTTTCTGGGAATTGAACCGAAATCAGAACCAACATTTTAGTTTTTCTGTTAACGGAATATTAACCGAAACCGAAATTTTAGTTTTACTGGGAACCGAATAGGGAACCATAAAAATCATCAAGGTTCCAGTCCCTGCCTGAAACATTAAAACAATTTCTTTCAGTTCAGTTTACACGTTTGAATAATAGTGATTTTACAATTTTCCTAAAAACCGTCTCAATTTCTGCAACCATGATCTAATAAATTATCAACCGGAATTTTTTTAATCTACCTACATTATTTTATCAGACAATGTATAATTTAAAATAATATGTACAATATTATTGTAGTCATAGAATGTGATATAAATAGTTATAAATATATTGGTAAGTGATTATTTTAACGTTCTACAATATTCCGAGTACCCAACTCAAATCCTATGTTCTATAAAACAAATATACCAAAAATATGAAATTTAATAATTCGTTGTAACCAAATATTAGACTAATGTAATGGTTACAATATTTTGAATTTTTGACCATCAATTTACCTAGGAGCCAATTCCGGTTTTTAAAATCACTTTTCCAAAATTTAAGGTCATTTTTTAATATAATATTATTAAAAATTGTTTACAATTGTACGTTTGAAGTGCACTTAATAATATTGTTATTCAATTGTCGTTATAGAAAAAGCTGATTATGTATCAACGGTTTAATGTAGCATATTGAGTTTATTATTTTCATTGTTTCTTGATTTATTTCTTGCACTGTAAACATTTTCTTCAATATTATAATACTTGCTTTACTTGATATTGGTCAGCAGTGTTGATATGCATTAGCCACCATATACCTGCAGGTACTGCATCCTGGCTGTTGTTTATCTACCACACATCAACACATATTCTCGGTTAATGATTTCAGGTGTGGTTTCAAAACCGGCGGATGAAGGACAAACGACAGAGGATCGCCATGGCATGGCCGTATGCCGTGTACACGGACCCGACGTTTGCGGCCACTGTGCTGCAGGCGGCTGCTGCCAGCGCGCACGCCAACGGCACGCTGCCCGACATAGCGGCCATTGCCAATGCCTACCAGTACTCGGCGGCAGCGGCGGCCGCGGCCGCTGGGCCGTCGTACTTCCACGGCCATGGAGGTGGCGGCGGTGGTGAGTTTGGTAAGTTCCAGCCTCAGCACTACGTCGGTTCGGTTCCACCTCCGCCACCTACACCACCAACCCAGTCGCTTCAGCAGATGATGAAGAAACCGTTCGGGCCGTTCGTGGGCCATCATCACCACCATCACCATCACCATCAGTTCGCGGCCGATGTCACTGCCATGGCCGCAGCCACCGACGTCTCCACGTCTGAATCCAGTAACGGTCACCATCACGCGGCGACCAGTTATGACGGCCACAAGGCTGCGGCGGCCGATCACAAAACGCCTTCGGCCACGGTAGACAACAATAAAACGACGACTTCGGCGGCTGCGACGTCTTCGTCGTCCTCATCGTCAGCCGCAGACGCCACCGATTTTTCCGGTGTGGCAGCCGGTACGAGCTGTAAGTGCGGAATAGTGGATTGCGTACTGACCACTTCCGGAAAACCGGTCAACAACAACGGCGCAACGGACGAGTCTACGACACCGGCCGCAGCTGACCGCGGCTTGTCTTCACAGCCATTTTTCATGACTTCCAGCGCAACTGAAACCGGTAGGGACGACATACAGTCTGCAGAATGTTCGTTGGCCGTTCACAAGCACGTCTACCACAAGGAGTACGCCAAAAACAAACTGTTCCAGCCCTACAAATCGGACGTGACGACAGCTAAACTCAATCTGTAAACTATAGTAACACTACACCTATAATATAACACACACAAAATATATAATATTATTATTATTATTAGGTACATAGTAAGTACTGTTACTAAATTATAAATAGTACGACTTACCCGTTGTAACACTATAATAATATTATTCATAAACGACATTAAACGGTAGTTTAAGATGACGCTACACGGCCATTTCTTGTCTTCGTCTTACAAGTGCGTAACATAGGAGAACGCTTTTCGCTCAGTTAGTTTAAAAATTAGAGTGAATCGACCTATGACGAAATTTGATGGTAAGTACATTATCCGTGTTTTTATGGGGGATTTTTTTACGATGGTTCAATTTTTTAGTAAGTTATACTTATTTAGGTATATAAGCATAATATAACTTCAATTAAAAATGCTCATAACTCACTTCAAAAACTGAATTATCGTAAAAACCCACAAACAAACACAAACAATGTTCTTACCATCAAGTTTCATAATAATTTGACTCACTCTAATTTTCAAACTAACTCAGTTAAATGTGATCTGCTGAGTGTCAATTTGCTGTGTTATGCACTTGTAATATGGAGGCAACAAATGTCTGTGTAGCATCCTCTTAAAACCTACTAAAATAATTCCTATATGGTAATACACAATATATGTATTTACCTAGACTTTATTGGACAATATACATATTATATTATCATCGTACACAGTACGATTATCTCATTGGAACACTATTAAATTATTATATTATATCACGTACAGGGTGTGTAAACATAGTTATAATAATACTTACAATGTTTATGATGTTAGAGGAGTCCGACCAAGCGCTCTAGTTTTACCCGTAATACAATAAATTATTAATCTAATAATATGGTAACCTCGAGTAAGTACCGATATAATATTATTGTTTCGCTGAATCCTTAACTTTGAAAATAAATGCATATTAAACAATCTGCCCAAATATATATTCCATTCACCAACTAAGATATAATGGACTGGAAACGAGCAGCTTATTACAGCCACGAATGTATGTACAAGAGGCAAAGTGCGAGGAGTCGCAATGTGTTCCTATAGTTTACAGCGCACTCTATATACAACACGGACAGAATACAAATTTTGAAGTCAAATAAAACCACCGGTAGCGCTGAAAACTTCAAGAACAGTATTCTTATCAGCTAAGTGACACCTTATCGTGACCGTCCCAAGACCCCCGCCGACCATGTGTCGTTTTCAGTTCATTATATCTTAGTCCGTGATTCCATTAGACAGCACGATCATAAAACAAATCTCTTGGCGCTTACCCCTGAAAATGTTCACACCATGGCCTTCATATACACACTATGCACTAAGATCGTTCATTTTTTGGACGTCCTATGTGTGGTTTTCGTTTCTATACAGCTTGTACTCGAATTTTGAAGCCGACGATTTGTATTGCGAATTTTTCCCCTCCCGACAAAGTGGCATTATAAGTTATAACACACAATAAACAATAGCATGTTTTTTTTTTAAATTCAATTTTCGATACGATCTTATCGGGGAATATACGTTTTCGATTTGGTTTCAGCTATAACCTATTTAAGAATCATTTATTTTGTACGACGGAAAATATAAGATTCAGGATAAAATTAAAATTTTCATCTACCAACCTCTATACAAGTCACTAAAATATTTTGATCGATTCGTTTAGAATGGTTTTATTAAGGAAATATACATTTTCATAAAACATGTGCGTCGTCTTTCACATGTGATAGCTTTCATGGGATACCATTGTCATTATGAAATTAATTTGTCTAAACTTTTAGACTAAGAGTGGTCACGCTTCATTTTATTATGTTCATTAGTCACTACTATCATTACAAACCACATTATTCGAATTTCGAGTACAGAATAGGTATAGGTACCGACAACACTCCTTATAGCTCCATGGTGCTGGATTTAGAGATATAGGACCCATACCTTTATTCGTGAGAAACTCTGTGTTATTAATATTATAAGACCCTTTCCAAATGGTCAAACTTAGATTATTTTAGTACGTTTTGACGATTCCACCGGCCATGACCCATGAGTACCTCCTTCTAATGCGGGCACATGTTGCCAAAATATTATATGGTATACCTACCTATTTTATAGGACACAATAGACACTCCGCTTTTCAGGAAATCGATAAAGTACACGGATAACTAATAACTATTTGTTTCATTGTTCTTGTAGGTACTATAATATACACTATAAATATCCTTCGTGTGCAAGCACAACGTTAATGCATAGGTATCTACCTAATTTTCAAGAATCCGTTAAATGTTAATAATTCCTACCATATTGTTACACACATTCATATTTTCCTATTATTTCAGAATTCTAACGAATGACACATATTAATATATAGGTAGGCAGTAACAATTTGTTAAAGCCTGTAGGTCTACTGCACGGCCGCAATTTTATTTCATAAATTATAACTGTACCTATTAGTCAACAGTTTTACACATAACAAATATTGTGTGTATGTACAAAATAACCAGTACATTTTTATTTTTATTTAATTTTCTAGCTTTATGTTCACTAATGAAACCAAAAATATAAAATGTATGTTGAGTATAGATCATTCAATTATAGGTCAACAGTGGATGTCCTTTATTCATCCATTTCACACATTTCATGCTGTATCATTGGATCTTGTAAATATTACATATTATTAGTTATTACAAGTTCCTTTCTTTCTTAACAATAAATAAACTATGAATTCACCAAATATAAGTCAACTGATGTGAATATTGTAAAACTGGCTAAATATAATATTATATGGGATGCATAAAACGTTAATATTCTTACCGAAACGACATTAATAGAACTCTGAAGTACATAGAGTTTGAGGCCAACAAGTTTTAGAGTAAAGTTGTACGATTGGGAAGTAATATTACCGTTTATGACGTATAAGTGCGTATAAATATTTTTATTTTTATTTTATATGTTGAGAAAATTAATTTATTACTTGTGCTACGATGGTATTTGAAGACCTCGTTAGTTTTTATTAAAATTATGTAGACGTAAAACTCCAATAAGATAACTATAAAAGATTTTATATGAAATGCAAAATTGAGCAAAAAAAAATCCCCAATGAAAACATCATATTTTTATACTAATTACCTGCCATGATTAAAATAAAAATAATAATTTTATATACTGATTCATTTTCAAGAAAAGTTCATAATTTCTACTGTCTATTGTCTTATACTATACGGTTTACTACCTACGCTAAGGTCCTAAGGATAGGTACTTATTTCAAATTCGTTTTTAAATGTATATTTAACCTTCAATACATATCCACACCATGTATTTATATATTATATTAAACATTACATTTCCAACACATTAAAAAGGTTTTAAAATATTAGGTATTTCATTCTTCTTACAAATATTGATTTGATATTTGAGCATACTAAATTCACTATTATCGTGGTGTATAAAAATATTCTTTACCATGGCTTGACAAAAAAAAAAAAAACTTTATAGTATCTACACATATGTGTTAAACAGTAATATTACTCTAATAAAACAATCTTAGCAGCATTATGTTTAAAATTACATTTAAATTTCTTTAATTAAAACAAGAACAAACGATTTTATAAATTGTATAATGATCTACAATTCTACAACATTGTAATTAATGTATGATCTATAAATGTATGTTACAGTGATAAATACTAAAATGAAAAATTAAATGGAGTTTATATTTTATAAATTGTATATAGGTGTCAACTTTGAATTTGATATTGTGTAAATAATGATTTACAGAAATAATATTATGTTACTAGAACGTACTTTGCTGATATACAAATGTGTACGTACCATTACGTATATGTATATTATATTATTGTAAATATTATATTCGTATATATACGAACAATTTCCTCGATAGGTAACTATATTCGTTTATGCATTTTTTTTATACTTGGTAAAAAGCTTTAACTACATAAGTTTTGTAGTTTTGTAGGTTATTAGCCTACATTAACTTAATTTTTAAACAAAAGAGGTATTAATATACATTAAATCTTAATACAAATATTGACGTTTACGAAATGTATTCTAACATTTATAAATGTCTATTCTGGTACCTGTAGAAACTGTAATGTATATAATTTATACCTTTTTAATGTAGTGTAAGGTTAGGTAATAACACTGTATTATTATTTCTTCTTCTTCTTCTGCTGCTGACATTTAGTACTCTCAAAAACCCTGTATCACTTATTCTAATTTAATATTATAAGACTTGAGAAAATACGTGCATCATGAGTGCCGTTGTAGAAAAACTTTAATATAAACAAGCTTATGTGCCAATTTTGAATGTCTCCCAAACAAGTATCACACTTTAGTATACTTAACTTGTACATTTATATTGATGTAACATATTTAATACCTATATAATATTTTGTTTTAGTGTATTAAATGATACTGACTGAAATAGTTAATAAACTTTGATTATAAAATTGTTTTACCGAAAAAATGAAACTCAAGATTTATGAAAATTAATGTATAAAAGAATAATTTAGTTTTCAATATTTATGTACAGTTTAATATTTATAGAATATTTAATATTTACTCATAGAATTTCAAAGTACACTATTAGACATTACTTTTATTATGAAACAACAATGTATTGCGTTTAAAATTAACTAAAATATTTTTAACATAGGTACTTTAGATATATACCTATAATAATTTATTTAATTTTGTAAATAGAATAATATTAGAATTTTAGTTAGTATAGTTAATCTAAACATTTAAGTAATATTTACCTATTTCACTTATCCAACAAAATAAAATTAAGTTTTGTATAAAAATTAGTATAAAATTATAATATAATATGTTTAAGTAAATAGGTTTTCTGCTAATAAGTTGATGTAAAAAGAAGAAAACTAGGTACTATAAATTTAAGAGTTCCATTTACCAGTAATTTATATTGTATTTTTTTTTTTAGATTATTAGATTAAACTAATGTGAATAAAAAAATATTCTTTTTATGTA